AAATATTATTTAACAATTATTGTCGTTTTCCTAAACAAGTGCGAATTAACGTGACTGGATGAAAATTTTTCATTTTGATACGTCATATGTGTAGTTCCATTACGGCATTATAATTATAATTGAATATTATCATTGAAAAATTAACACAAATGTAATATTGCGTGGTGTATCATTTGCTCACGAAATATAAACGTTTTACCTAACAACGTATATCGCATGTCTAAAAGTCGGATATTTATTTATTATGTGCTCGTGCGACGCTAACGGGTTTCTGCGTTTTGCCAATCGTTCAAAGTGAAATCCCGTAGGTAGTCTTTTCCCGTGTATAGATCAATCCACGTGGGAGTAGGGGTTAATGCCAGACATATGTATACACCTACGTTACCACTAGCAATGGTACGCGGTCGCAAACCCAGCCAAGAACGCCGTTTGCCAAGCCCATCTCTTGGGAAATTCACTTTAAGGTGCGCACTGTCTCCGGCCTCGTATCATAAAAGTCTATGCAAATATTATACTGCTACAAAAATAAAAAATAAACCCATTTAAACCAACTTGCATCAGTCAGCTGAAAATTATTATAAAATATGTACTACGAGTGATAATCATTTTTGATCTCTAAACTTTATATTATGCTTGCCCGTTTTAGCTGGTAGTGTTTCATTTTTAAATTTAAGACATCTTTGATCTAATCGTGTTTTTTGCGTCTAAGTGGACTTCCAAAAACGTGTTTTTTATATTAATCGGATGTAAAAAGAACTTCATAATTTTCAAAAATGTTATGTAAATTTGTAGCAAATTTTTTTCGTCCCTCCGTCGCATTGGCTTATTTAATTCAAAATAATAACATCAGTATAATAAACAAATCTGTTTATTTACAATAGTAATTTGAATGCGTGGTCGATCAAAGCAATAAGAGTATAAATGATAAACTAATAAAGTAATTGCATTTCAGTTCATGGCCATAATGTTTGAAACTCTGGTGTTCTTGCTTCTTTTATTTTTATTATATCGGGGTCTCTTCTTTATTTTCCAAACCATTCGTGCACGTACCTCCATCAAGGAAAATAATAATTGTCATATGAAAAAAAAATAAATTGCTTAAGGTACGAAAAAGACGTATTTGTGGTGGTGGAGAGAGGGCTCGTCTCGACGAGGATAAAAGCGAATTAACCCTAGCATTAGACAACCGTTCGCCATATCCGTATGTTTGTGCACTAATATAGGCAGTGCTCACTTCAAGAGATGAAACCCTCCACCTCTCCACCGATCGTTCGGTTGATTATGATCGTGGTTGAATATATAGAGCTTTATATAAAATACATGCCGTCTGTTTCCTGCTCGACGAGCACGTGCCCATATGTGTGTGTGTCTTTGACTTCAGATGGTTCAATTTATATTGGTTCGTATACACGAGGATTATGTGCATTTGTGCGCGGTTAATATGAAAAAAAAAGCCTTTTCTTTTTGAGAGACGATAACGGTGGAAATCGAATACCTAACTCATATTATATCGACACGGTCGAATGATCTATTTAAATAATTCCGTTTTTCTTCTCCCCCCTTTTTTAAATAAATATACAGGATGATTTTTTTTTATCATGGGCCGCTCACATATCTCACTGGCTTTAAGAAATAATTTTTTTTTTTTTTTCATATAACGTGATCTCGATTTTCTAAAAAAATGTTCATGCCCCTGCCACTCACCCAAACTTATTATTTTTATATCAACTTTTAAAACTTAAATGGTAACCCATATATTTCATTAACTTTTTAAATTGAGAACAATGTACTACAAATTTTGACTGGTCGATAACCAGTTATTATGTTATTGGAGTTTCAAGTTTAGAGCAGGAGGAGAGGTGGAGTGTAGTGTTATTTTTGTCTGCGCGCACTTTCCCTCCCGTCCTAACTTTAAAACTCTTATAACTTTAAAAATAATTATCTGAAACTGGTTATCAACCAGTCAAAATTTTTAATAAAATATTCTTAATTTAAAAAGTCAATAAAATATTTAAGTTATTATTTAAGTTTCAAAAGTTGTTATCAAAACAACTAATTTGGAAGGGGGGTCGAAACATAAAAATTTGTAGAAAATTGAGATCAAATTATTTAAAAAACCAGTACAGTGCGGTCGGGGCATAGTGGGGACGGGAAGGTCACAGGCTTACAAGAATTATTAAATCTGAAAGTGATAAAATCACTTTCGAAAAAACGCTTCAATGCAAATCGGTAGTTAGTATTTTCAAGCCAGTACAGTCCAAACCAAGCACAGTATAAACCAGCAAAGTTAGAAAGTATTAAATTGAGGTGCTGTATTTACAAATAAGCATCAAAGCGTTTATTTGAAAGTGATTTTATTTAATTTTATCACTTTTATTTTTAATAATTTCTGTAGACCTGTGACCTTTCCGTCCCCTCGTTGCTTTGATTCCATTATGCCTATACTCTATTGTACAAGTCCTTTTGGATAAAATAACTTTCAAATTAACGCTTTGATTTAAATTTGATACAATTGACGTGTGCGGGCATACTAAATAAATGTTCCTTATAAATTTCAACTCGATCCGACTTTTTTTTCTCGAAATTATAGCCAGTAAAAGTTCTAACTTAAAAACTCGTACGGCTTTTTTTTTTTTTTTTTCAAATTTCGTCTAGTAAACTTTTTCAACTTTTACCCCCCCCCCCCCCCCCAAAGTACCAACTAGATGAAATTTGTGAATTATAGAGTTGCTTTTCGAAGGAATTGGTCTAGTATTAAAAAAGTTACAGTGTATACAGGTAAAAAAAAACACACACATCAGAGTAAAACCAATACCTTCGCCACTCTGTATCGAAGCTAACACACTATGACAGTAAAAATTAAATTATTAATTAAACCCAGCGAGACATTGAGTGGTCCAAGGTAAAAAAATCTATCTGTATTAATGTATTGCGAATCGTTTTCTTAAACGGACATTCTTAAGTACGCCGTGCATTATCGATGCCCACTTAGTACCTATGTCTTACATGTGTGCTTACTACAAGGGTGCGGTGATACGCTTTTGTGCGTCTAGAGTAGATGTTATGTCGCGCTTGTGGGAATAACGTGTACGTCGGCCACTACTGTGATATTACCCGCTTGTATGTTATCCCTCAGGAGATAGCTACACGAAGAGGGGGTGGTCTTAGAACATACAATATACAAATTGAAAAAATTCATTAAATTTAAAACCGCCTGCGATCTTATGTATTTTCAGTCTTTCTTTGTTCGACGCGTGTCAAGTGTCAACCATACTTATTTACAGTACATACACATTGCTCGTCCGGTAAGTCAAGATAATGTAATACAACTTACATTTTGCGTGTTGTTCTAAATTAAATAGAACTGGTGCTATGTCAGAATAGTAGAAAATCTTAAAATTTAAATAAAATGTTATTACATTACTAAATTCGGGCAATAACGTGTTTTACTACTAAACATACCTATTAACGTGCAACATACGATATTAGAGAAAATTTGCAAAAAAAAAAAAATCTATTGGTTAACGAAAATATTTTTTGAAAAAATCTATAAACTAGTTTTTATATAATTATTAAATATTTATAAAATTATTTAGTATTATTGTCTAGCTATTGTAAAAAAATGTTTTTGAGTTGTACACTATATTAATAAGTGATTCAATTCGACAACATACAATAGTTGTTTGGCTTTTACAAGATAATGTTAGAATAACATGTACTATTGCGTAGCACAATAAAAATGATTGTGAAAAAACTATCTAAACAGTGCGAGAACGAGTTAGCTGTAAAACTAACTAATTAAAAATTTGTCCACTAAAAAAATTCTTATAGATATTTTCCAATAATTAAAATGCGCATGCCATCGTCATCTATTTCCAATTGGTGGACATGTCTTATTTCTGTCTTAATCACTTTAGTTACATTTACACAGATGTAATAGAAATAGTTTTCTACTTAAAGTTTAACATTTATTGAGATAGAGTCTAGAACTTTAATATTAGATTTTTAACAAAATGTTGATCTTTAAGTCCCTTTTCAGCACAAAACCATTACTTCAGTATTTCGGTATTTCTATCATGATTTGATGGACTAGTCCCGTTTTCACATAGGACGTTTATATATTATAGTAGAGGAATAGAAATCCGGAAATAATAAAATAATTATAATTTTGGCGAAAATTGGACAAGACGTGTCTCGTCGTAATAAGGAAATAATACTATGATTTTTGCATAAGCAATTAGTGATTCATATAGCACAAACGGTATATCAATACTTCGTGTCTTATATTATATTGGTTTGATGGACGTATTATGTGCGGGCATTATTCATATTAGAAATATTACCACGAATATAATATTATAATGTTCTCAGAATACATTTGTAGATGTTTTCGAATGAAACCAAACACCTTTTTAGTTCACGAGAATTTAATATTAAAGTATAAATAAAGTAAATGGGACCGACCGAAGCATTATTTTCAAAATAATATGCATAATGCCTTGAACACAAACAAAAAAGTGAACCCCAACTCAAATATTAATGGAAAAAATAAATTACATAAGCCGGCTCGTCGTCAAAGATCTTATATATATATATATATATATAATACTTACAGACTACTGTCCCTTATATTATCAGCCTGTGCGCTGTTTACATTTTAGCGGCTTACCGGTACCGTTAAGCTTTACTGTAAACTTGCAACGTTGTATATACCACCAGTTCAACTAACTGCCGCGTATTCGTACAATTGTTATGGCTCTTTCTCCACTCTCCTTAGGCCGAAATCGGTTATATATTTTTACGAAACTCCAATACGTCATATTTTACTAAAACAGAACAGACTTGATATCAGAAAGTCCATTCAAGTCTGCCGAACCCCATAACCTCTACACTGTCATGGTCGATCGCCTATACCATCCGACGTACCGTACACGTGACATAGTTCACAGTTTTTACAACAAAAAAATATTCACTTATTTTTTTATTGTTTTTCTTTTCAGATGATTTGTTGGACGATCAAGAACAAAACGGTCCCCAAGACCCAAACAAGATACCCAAGTTCATGACAAAGCCGAACGTTTTCCGTGTCGTTATCAGAGACACGGTCGTGTTACCATGCGACGTGTATAATCCAGGTAACTCAATAATATCATAATTGGAGTATACTAATCAGATGATATTCCCCTGACTCCTCTGCATGGCGTTCCCTATCATGTAACATTGGTTTTATTCATAATATATTATACCTAGATTACATACTGTGTCATGTACATTTACCTAGTAGGGACTTTTTTGAAGTAGCTTGTACGCAATCCCTCCGCAATGGACAAAATAATTAGTAGTTCTTATAAACACCGTTTAGCGTCACGGTAAAGAGAGTTAAAATCGTATAAATTGCTTTTTGTGTTTTCATTTTAGAACCATCATGAATGGAGTAAAATGCATTAAGCTAAATATGTATAGTAAAAAAACGTTGGTAATGGCGACGCTTTGATAACGTTTCAAAAAATAATTAAATGTAAACTTAATTTAATGTTTAAAAAAAAATGATTTATACCGTTTAGATAATATATGTTTGTCTAAATGGTTAAGCTCTTGTCCCTCGTTGAAAAACCATTTTTTTACCGAGTTGTTCTCTAAATATACCCGTTAAGTAATATAGGATGTGATATGGCCTCATAATATGGTTATAAAGAAAGTATTATCATTGAGTACCTATATATTGTATATACAAAATAATATTATACTCAATGGTATTATTTACACTTTAATTTTGTTGATCGATACGAATTCTTTGGGTTCGAATACTAAAACAGTAGCTCACTCGAATCGATTCGAGTTCAATAAGTTGACATTTTACTTTCAACAGCGCCCTATTCAAATGTATGAAAAGAATATATTTTTTTAAAAATGTTTTTTGGTGATAAATGTTGACTAAAATGTACATCGTGAAAAAAAAACACAATTTCAAAATTAAAATGTACCTACATTTAAATACTAAAAACCCATTTTGTTGGTTTGGCCCAAAGATTATTTATTTGTTTACTTTTTGTAAATACCCAAATTGAATTTGTAATACTACTACCGTATAATCATTCAGGCGGGTGATGAGCAAACGAAAAATATTTCCCAGTCCGTTTTAATCGCCAAACACTCGGTCTGTATAGCCGGATAGACCGGACGCCTCTATGGGATACCATTCACTGCTCGATGTGATCCGGATTTTATTTCCATCAATTTCATTAATGCGTTTTAAAGAAAACAAAAACAAAGCTGTGCCATTTTAACGCCACGATCGAGTTATAGAGAATTTTATACGATAAAAAAAGTTTATTATGAATATTGTTTTTAATTATTATTATTATTTCTACACTTATTTACTATGTTCTAAAAAATACGCATACGACAAATTATTCCAATAGCCTTTAATCTCCATTATTATTTTATTTTTTTGTATAATTTTGAGAGCAATTATTATTATTTGATCTAAAAATGGTTTTAATGAATTCATTATTAAATTAAAAGATCAAAATAGTTTGTACTTTTTTTAATTAAAAATATTATTTTTAAGTGAAGTTTTAAACAGTACCTTTTAAATGTCGAACATATTTATTTAAACTATTTAATTTAGAATTATATAATACAAAATATAATGATAAGTTGATAATTAGTTTTGTATAAATACTTCTAGAGTTAACTTGAACAATTATTAACAATTTAGTGAAAAAACGATTTAGTTTGAAACATTGTTAGCTAAACTAATTATTTTACAGAAAAATTGCTGTAAAGTAAAATTTTATTCGCAGTGATGGTTAACTGCCTTTGCTTAAAATAATTTCGTATATATATTTTAAAATACATTTCTTGTAAACAAATTAAATAATTTACAACTATTATCAACTATTTTACTAAAACTAAAATAATATCTTATAGTGACATTAACAAATTCAAATGCATGCACTCGACTGAGTATTCATACAAAATAAGGGTGACACTTTTCACGTGTCGGCAACGCTCCTTTACTTGTAGATAATTACACATAATTAATTACTAAGATAGTAAATCAGTCAATTACTTGAAACAATTAAACACCTGTCATCTTGTTTGATACAATATTATTTTTATCATTATATTTCTGGGTTGAATAACATAATGCGCTCTCAAAGATTAGATGCTTTCAGTGAAGGCAATTTTCCAACAATTATTGTTATTTTTTGAAAAGAGCATGACGAGATTATCGTTTTCTTATCCTAGTCTCATCTTAGATAATTTTTTTTAATAAAACCAAAAAAAATCTGGTCGGTATTACTTCAAGTTGTTTAACGAAACGAACGGGTTAATGTCTTAAAAGTTTAAAATGCTTATTATTTAAAAATAGAAATCTTCATTTTAAAATAATTCTGTTTCTTTTTATGTATTACTTAATTACCTAGAGTACCAAAATTGTATAATCTAGATCCCAATAGTCAAAATCATTATATAAATAATAATAATTTTTAAAAAAACTAAAATTTTGTATATTTCTAAACATATTTAACATAATTTTAAACAATGTGTACTATATGTATTTATTGGTTTCGTATGTTTCTTTGTGATTAACTTTGTGTAGATATTTGAAAAAAAATTCAATATTTAAATCGTATTTATTCAATACGTTGTAATTTTACGCTATAAAATTCATTATATTTGAAAGGTCATATTTAGAAAGGTCATATTTCTATGTGTTTTAAAACACATAGAAAGCATGTTCGACAAAATTTTAAAATATTTTTTTTTCTGTAGGGGGGGGGGCTAGCGTTTCTTTTATTATATTATTGATGTTAATTAAATAAACTAAAGTTCAAACGAATGTGTTTATATTAAATGTAAAACTAATAACGAGACGATGTTACTTTATTTTATTGTTAATCAGACTTTTTGGTAGCGTTCTTTTAAAAATAATATTTTTTATTAAGAAACAATGTGGTCTTTGCATTTAAATTTTCTCATTGTATACCTTGTGGTTATTATTATGGATAATATTATATTTCTTCAGTCTGTTTGTTAACTGCAAAATTATTTTACTTGTATCTTATTCTAATTTCGTTCTTTCCGGATGGGATGACATGATGCTCGCACAAAGATTAGGCTCCTTTAAAATGAAGACAATTTCCCGAGAATTTTTTTTTTTTTCAATTACATTTCTTTTTTTAAGAACAACAGTGCGACTAAATTGACATTTTACTTGTCTCGTAAGAAGGCATTATGCCGTAGACTTTAATCAATTTTAACTTCGGTTAAACTTACCGTAAGTGGTTTAACAAAACGAGTCAGATAAGTTTGGGCGAAACGACAAGTATAAATTGTAGAAAGTTTTATTAGAAAATATATTTAATAATAGTTAAATGACTATACAAAGTTGCTCATATTATCACGCATTATCTGCGCCCAGTTATAACTAGGTTTTTATTGATAACAATAGCTCTCTTTTGGCTAATACAAATATTTGAAAATTTTTCGATTTACCATTTACTAGGTCATATACATCTGGGGTGGGTTCTTTTAACTACACCTTTTTGTATCATACTCTGAACGAATATGTTTTTATTAGTCCAAAGATATTGTCGAGTGCTAGAATAAACTAAAACCAGAAAGTTACCAAAAGTTGTTGAAACATTAATTCAACCTTGTTTATCCTTACCCGATCTCGCCGTCTTATAATATCGTTTTCCAATAACTCGGAGCAATAAAAGTAAGTTATTATGGATATTGCATAATATAACATGTAGTTTAATGTACTATATATTTTTTACTCGTTTAGTAAATAAATCGACAACATATATATGTTCATATATTTCAGACGTCATTTTTCAGTTTTGTTTTTGTCATAAAAATGAAAATAATGATGTCTTTTTCAGTTTTCACGCGGCTGAACAATATTATGTTTGTAATAATAATAACTGCGGTAAAAACTTTCTTTTATAATGATATTGACGAATACCTATTGCTAGCCTGGTAAGTCGCTATTCCTTGTGGCTTGTTATTTGGAACCTTATAGTTTCTATACTCATAAAATTATTCCATTTGCCTGACCACACCAATATCTTCGTTTTAGTTGTTGTGCAAAAAAACTCGGATATTGCTTTGACCCTAACGAACCGTTTTGAATGATTGGTGAACGATTTATTAGAACACTAACAGGATTTTACAAAAGCTGAAAACTATTTGAACACTAATAATCTTCGACTCCTCAACGATAACATCACAGATATTACAGTTTTAATAACAGCTGTACCTAGTTAATATTCTTCTGGCCATAATAATTTGTTTCATTAGTATGCCGGTTCCGAGGGCAACGCTGCAGATAAGTAGCAAAAGTGTAATCTTGTCACTTGCCATCTCACGACACTTGTCTATCATTTCTTGGTTCTTTTTCTCTGTATCCGAACGTTTATTTAAATTCATTCTAGCTGTTCGAATCATCACGGAAAGACAACGCTATTCCGAATGTATGCTGTAGGTCGTAATTAAGGTTGAGCTATGCAAAGCGGATGGAAACCAATTAGACCCGTTTATTTTTATTATATTGTATGAAATGAGTAAAGTCATGACATTTCTGCATAATGATTAACTATAACGAAGTGAGCTTGGGAACTAAGGTGCTGTCATTTATTAATAAATATGTCTTTTGGCTGGGGAAATGTCAAAAATTTACGTCATTAGTGTCCCGACATCGTTTTCCTGGCACTAATAAGGAACAACTGATTACGGATATTGATAAGAGACAGCTGACAATGACTCCTGATAGGGTAGGAGATTTTCGATGGAGAAAGAGGATAAAAGAAGATGAAAATGAGCATGCACATGAACATGAACTGAAGTCTACATATAAACCATAATACAATATAGTTATGATCCAATGTTTTTCCTTACTTGAAATTACAATGTCTTATAACTGAAATTTTAAGGTTCGAGTAGATGAATCTTAGATAAAAGGTGCAAATGTCAGTTTTTAGTTATTTTAATTAAAAACGTTTTATCGTGAAGTGTTAAAACATAAGAAAGTTAAATAAAACATAAAATTTAAGTATTAAACAAATATTAAACCTAATAACAAAATGTGAAGAAGCTTTAATGGAATTGAAACTTACTCACA